AGGGAACACTTCAGGAAATTCATTCACCACCGCTAACTCTTCCAATGACGCCTTGCTGTCCACAGATAATGATACAAATAAAGAAAACATTTTAGCTTTGTCTTCCAACAAGATCCTCAATTCCTTACTGGACAGGGAATCCGCCAAAGCTTCTTCTTCTGGAAAAGGAACAACAACACTTTCCTAAAACAATCGATGTAGACTCGATTGAACTCCAACCAGTTCATACCTAGAATAAAATCCAACTTACCAAGCGGCAAGCAAATCAGATCCACTCCAAAATCTCTACCAAAAATAGTCAGCGGACACTTCAAACACACCAAAGAAGTAGTCACTAAACCAATCGAGGGAGTCTCGATAGTCATCCGCTGCTCAGGAGTAGTCGGCACCAAACCTAACCTCTTCACACAATCAACAGAGATGAACGAGTGGGTCGCACCCGTATCAATCATAGCAGACAAAGGAACATTATTGATGAAACAAGTACCTCGAATAGAACGATCCTCACTAGTAGCTTGAGTTCCCACCATTACAAACACTTTACCACTGGTCTGAGGCACCTTAGACGACTTTGGCTTCCCACAATGAGTACTGATGTGGCCCTTCTCACCACAGTTGTTACAGGTAGGCATGGCGACTCGACAATCAGCCATCACGTAGCCTGGCTTACCACACTTGAAACACTTCTTCGCCTCTTGAGGACAATCAATGGCACGATGACCCATGCCACCGCACCAAAAACACTTCCCACCAGTAAACGCCCTCCCTTCTTAGGGCTTCTTATCATTAGCACCCTTGAACTTCCCTTTATCAGTCGGAACACTGTACGGAGTACCACCGAACCTTGGCTTACCCTTACAGTCATTAGCAGCCTTGTAATGCGCAATCCTCGCCCGATTATGATTGTCTTAAATCCTGCTTCTACTTATCAGCTCAGGATAATCCCTGATCTTCTGACAAGCTATCCTCATCTTAACTTCCGGACGCAGCTCGTTCTCGAACTTCAAACACTTGGAGGTCATCGCTCCATCGGTATTGTAATGGGGACAATACTGCACTAGCTCCTCAAACTTAGCCGCATACTCGGCCACTGTCATATTTCCCTGCTTCAGCTCCAACAACTCAATCTCTTTAGCACTTCGGGTATCCTCCGGAAAATACTTCTCCAGAAAACTAGTTCAGACCACATCCCAAGTAATTGGAGTTCCTGCAATCTCCAACCTTTGGCGACTGTTGTCCCACCAAGCTTCACCTTCACCCTCTAACATGTGAGTACCGAACCTCACCTTCTGCTCATCGCTGCAACCCATCATTCTGAAGATCTTCTCAATCTCCTTCAGCCACTTCTGCGCCGCTTCAGGATCCAAAATCCCTCCTTGAAACGTCGGCGGCTTGTTACTTTGAAAATGCGCCAAATCTATAAATTGCGCACCCGCAGATTGGTTCTGATTAGCAACCACCTGCGCCATTGCTTGCATAGCTGCAACCAACGCAACATCATTCCTCCCCGCCATATTGCTCAACAACAATAACAACGCCAGGTAACAGAGAGACAAACTCTATCCTACACTCAGACTCAACTACTACACTGGCCGGACGGACGGACCTGCTATGATACCAGCTTGTAACACCCCGTTCCCGAAAATAAAATAAATGCAATTTAAAATAAACAAATATCAGAGTTTCACACAAACACACGGGATGTCACAGAAGGAAACCAACCAAAACATTTTTTTCTTTTTAAATGGTATCAACCATAATCAACAGCGGAAATTTGTCATCATATATATATATATATATATATATATATATATATATATATATATATATATATATATATATATATATATATATATATATATATATATATATATATATATATATATATATATATATATATATATAAACATCATATACATGTCATAAACATCATCCTCGGCCAACTGCCCAAAATATACCAGACATATATACACTAAAAGAATTCATCAAACATGATACGCCACAGGGCACACAAAATCATCAGATATACACAAAAATCCCCAAAGCCCCGATGTTACGTATCAGAGCACTCCTACGCACCTAGATTATCTGTACTTCCAAAGAAGCACAGACCACAACAACAACAAGAAAGGGGTGAGAATCACGATCAAAATATAACGATAAGAGCGCACAGGAATAAAAGGCAGTAACACACAATTGTCATTCACATACATCAACCCAGACCTATTGTCCCACACCAACATAGCATATAAAATAATGCAACACATGCAACTCAACCCATGATGCGGTACCGACTCACTGGTTCATCAACCAAACTCAGGATAGATCACTTACACTCCACCCGAGCAACGATCTATCCCTACCACGCTCCCTTTCGGAGCCCCGACAAATCAAACTCAGGATAGATCACATACGCTTCATCCGAGTAACGATCTATTCCTACCACTCCCTTCTGGAGCACATGGAAACCACACTCAGGATAAATCACATATGCTTCATTCGAGCAATGATCTATCCCTACCACGCTCCTCCTGAGCACATATAATCATGCATCATGGTATGCGTACATCAATGCCTAACAGCAATCCACGCACACAAGGTGACCACGATCCATCCGATCACATTTCATCATACATCATATTTATACATATATATCACACATTACTACAGTCATACATCATATACATACATGATACACCTCAATGTAAAATTATAATTACACGAATAATCAAGGAAAATCATGTTCCAACCTCATATGTACACTCTCCACGGATTAACATCATTCTCGTAATCAGACACAACCAACAAGGGTCCAATAATACTAGTGAACCAAACAGAACAGCACCAAAAACACAACATGTTGTCATGCTCGCTGGCTCATTTTCCTGGAGAGGCCTCGCAGCGAATACTCGCTACCCGTTCGCCTGACGAATCCCCCAGCGAAGACTCGCTACAAGCTCGCCTAGTGAACTTCCTGGAAAATGCAGACAGTGGCGACTGGAACCACTCGCTGCCCAGTTCGCCTGGCGAATCCCTAGCGAAAGTTCGCCCCCAGTTCGCCCCCTGTGATTGCTTGATGAAAATATGTTACAAAGGCCCTCCTTTTATAGCTAAGGAGGTACATATAGTATAAAATCAACACTATTTACAAGCATGGCATTTTTAATACTATATGAATGCCTTTTTTTAAAAGTCCGACACACTTATCACTTATGGATTACATTATTACACAAAAAGACAAAATTTACTATTCATAAACATGCTTGTGGTCTTTGAAGGACACTTGAAGGACACTTGTCCATTTAGTTTTTGCAAATTGGTTCATGAGAGGGGGACATATTCTGATCAGATAAATTTCCGTCAGACAAGCAATCTTCATAGCGAGATGACTCACACTGCCAGCTATCATCCATCAGGTAGGTGTGATATGCTAATCTCATATTCACCTCTTCCACTTGTCCTTCAGAGAATACAGCTTCCATCAGAGAATCTGGTTTTTGTTGTGTGGCTTGAGTCGAGCATTCTCCAACTTCCTGTCTTATGAACTTGTCATGATGTATGCAAGTTGAACTTTCATCAAGTTTCTTTGGATCATAGAGATTGATGTAGTTAGCAAATTCCAGTAATTGCCTTGTGACTTTTAGACTAGGAGGATATTCATCAATGGTTTCCCATAGGTGAACATAACTCTTATAATTGAGCAACTTAGTTACAGGATCTGTTAGATAGGGCATGTATAAAAAGAAAACAGACCTGAGCTTTCCAATATCTTCTGCAGATAATCTTCATTCTCTAACCTCATCTATGACTTGTTTTAATTGATCTCTCCACCATTGCAATGAAGAATACCATTCAAGAGTGGTCCAAATCAAAGACTTGTGTTTCTCGAGATCCATTATATGTTGATACATGGCCTCAGCGGGAATAAGAACAGGCATGTAGTAAAAACAAGTGGCACACCAAATATACCACAAATGGTTCTTTGTGAATTTAGCATTTGGGTTTATTAAAATTGGCAGGAGAAAAGGTGTATCTAAGAAATAAGGACTGTGATCTGGTAATTTGTTCCTTATGATCTTTGTCATGTAATAGAAAAGATTTTTCCTGGCATACTGCTTGAGTTAGGACGGCGAAGAGGATGTCGTTATTCCTGGAGGAAGATTCTTTGTTTTGGATGCATGGGTTGGTAGTGATTTGACCATAAGAATTAGAGGCAAAGTGTGCTTGGCTATGATGATTTGGATAGGTTTCATGGGTCTGGAGAGTAGGTCTGGGATTACATTTTGGGTTCCCTTGATATGTTTTACCGAGAAATCATAGCTGGAAAACCAATCTTTGAGCCTAAGAGTTTGAGGATCAGGAGGCATCTTATTTTTAAAATTCAAGGATCTTAGGCAAAGAGGAGTTGTCCATCTGGACTTCAAATTGGTAGCCTCTTAGGTGGAAGTCAAACTTTTGAATTCCCATCTTTACGACGAGGGCTTCTTTGTAGGTGGTGTGGTAGTGTTTCTCAGCTTCTCTAAATTGGCCACTGGCATGGCCACAATAGTATCTTTTTCCTTCAAGTTCCTCTACCAGGACTGCTCCCCAATAATGATCACTGGCATCAGTCTGTAAAATTCCTTTTCCACTCCCAGAGATTTTTAGAGCAGGAGGAGTTTGTGCGATTTTCTTTACGGCTTTTACTGCTTCGATTTGTTGTGATCCCCCTGGTGGAGGTTTTTTCTTTAGCATTTGGGATAGAGGAATCGTGTATCGCGCCAGTTTCGGCAGGAAATCTCGGATATAATTAATTATACCAAGAAATTGTTGGATTTGCTTAACTGTGATATTTTCATCAGGAAAGTTTAATAGTTCTTGGGCAATATGAGGCTGAGGTTGATATTTCCCTTGGGAGAAATGAATCCCTAGAAAATCAATTTCTGTTTGTCCCAATTGACTTTTCTTTTCAGAGAGCATCATTCCATGTTGTTGGGCTATTTGAAAAATCAGCCCAATAATTATTTATGGGTTTTTTCATCTTTTGAGAACAATAACACATCATCAATATAGATGAGGGTACTGTTGAGGATGGGCTCAAAAATTCTAGTCATGGCTTTTTGAAAGAGTGATGGGGCTACCTTAAGCCCAAACGGTAACACTGTCCATTGGTATTGGGCGTTAGGAATGCAGAACGCCGTTTTATAGCGATCTCCATGGTCGATCCCCAATTGCCAAAATCCTGACTTAAGGTCAAACTTTGAATAGATATGGGCATCTTTAATGAAAACATTTAAGGACGAGGCTTTTGGAATGGGAAATTTATCATCTTTGAGAAAATGGTTTAGAGGTTTGTAATCAATTATTAGCCTCTTTTTTCCCTTCAACTTTTCAGATCTTTTTTCCACATAGAATGCTTGGCAAGCCCACTCTGATTTGGTAGGTTCTATCAGACCTTGTTTGAGCAGTTGATTGCATTCTTCCCTATCTAATACGTAATCTGATGGACTCATCCCTGGATGAGTGGCCTTGGTTGGATTAACATCTTCATTGAGCTTGAAAGGAAGTTGAACGAAGAAGTCTTTATTCTTCCATAGAGGTTTTGGGTGGTGGAATTTCTCATGGCTATCTGGACATAGTCTGAGAAGGTTGGACTTGATCTCTTCATAGCCAGCATGAACCTTAGAAAGTGAGTACAGTTTCAGTATCCCAGAATAGGGTTTGAATTCTCTTTTGAATTTGATTCCTGTGGGGAGAATTTGGAGTTTAATTGCTGCTGAGTAGACATCCATTCCTACTACAATATATTTGTTTGGCAAATTACTACCAATAACCTTGGTCCAAACTATGCAGTATGGGAAGAATTTAATCCCTATTTTGTCCTTGGTCATTAGATTTGTCTTGAAAACGTTTCCATCTGTTGCTACAAAGTATGCAGCATGTGTTACCCATGATTCTGCAGGGAGAATGTTGGGATTCATCATGGTGATCTGGGCTCTAGTGTCCATGGGCTCCAGTGTCCATATATGCTATAACTTTCTTCGGACGGGAAAACTTTGTTGCGAGAATATGGTCTTCAACACAAGGAAGTGGGTAGTAGGAAGAGAACTGCATATCTCTTTGATGGAGTAAACCGAGAGATATCTGTCATCTTCTGATTCTGAAAATGATGCTTCATCAGACGAAGAGTCTTGAAGGGAAAAAATTGTTTCTTCATCAGCAGAACTTTGTTCAGCATACAGAGATTTTAAGTCTCCTTCTAGAGGTTGAAGAGAGTTAATCAATTTTGCAGCATTATGGGTGTTATTAGGATATTCTTTTGGGAAATGCCATTTTTCCCGCAAATAAAGCATCTCTAATTTTTCCCTTTTCCTCTGAAAGGTTTTCTTCTAAAGAACTTCATATTCTTTCTCTTCTTTCCCTTGAAAGTCCTGTGAGATTTGGTGTATTTTTTATGTTTGTTTTTTGATGGACAACCACACCTCTTGTCTTTACACTTAATCTCCAGGTAGGGTTTCTTACAAGCTTGGGTGAACTTTGACTTTTGTTGTATAACTTCTGAAAATTGATGATGAAAACTGCAAAGCTTTTTAAGTGCTTCTAAGGTTACTTGGTGAATCTGGTCGAGACTCATATCTTTGATATCCTTTTGAGCTGTGGCTAACATTCTATGAATTTATGGCTGAAGTTCTTGTGGTAGAGAGGATACATAGGTATTCTTGAGACTTGGGTCATTGTACCCATTAAGGCCATAATACCTTTGTGTCATCCTATGATAGTGTTTGTCGAGGTCTTTTGTTTTGAGAGAACAACACTTCATCTCAAAGAATTCTTGTCTGTTTTTCTATCAAATATCTCCATATCACTGATGAATTCTCGGTGGAGAACCCCAAGAAAACTAGCTGTAGTTTCTAGACGATGTAACTGATCTTGTTTGAAAGCTCCAAGATTGTGATACCATTCTTTCATCGTGCCTGTCATTCTACAGCAAAATTCTTCAATGATCTTATAGCTATCTGCACTTGTTTTCATCATTTGGGTGTCAAGCCAAGCTCCAAATTCAAGTAGTCTTTTTCTCCAGCGGTTAGGTGGTAAATCATCAAAGGTGAACCAAGGACCTCCGGTTGGTTTAGTCCTTTCAGGGACAAGAGTTTCTTCAGGGGATTCTTCCTCTTTTACATTCTCCATGAAGAGCCTTGGGAAATAGTTGTCTTTAGATTCTAATTTAGTTGAAAAAGATCTTGGTGTCTCATCAAAAGATGATTCTAGATCAGAGTTGTTGTCACCATCTGAAAAGGACTCGTCTCCCTTTAGTTTTGATGATGGAGGAGATTCATGATTTGTAGTGATTGCCATGGTTTGGAAACCTTTATTAGGATTTTCTTCTTCCTTTTGGATTTTTGAAGGGGGTGTTTTAGGGATATCTTGAGAATATGAGGATGAAGCGCTTAAGCAGGCAACTTTCCCCTTTGATATGGAGGTTGAGGTAGTGGTAGTTCTGGAAGATTTTGGTCTGTAAGCTGGTGGTATGTATTTAACTGGGTCTGATGGTGATGAAACATAATTGGGGTAGAAAGGAGAAGGCCTTTCTAATCGTTTGAAATATGTAGGAAAAGAAGGTGGATCCAAGAAAGAGTTTTCAACTGGTTTGGGATTTCTTTCATGAGAGGCCCTTAAGAAATCATCTATCTCTTTTACATGGATTGGGAGACATCTGATTTCTCTTTCATTTTGGTCAAATGTTTTACCAAAATCTCTTTCTTCTAACATCTGCCGCAAATCCCGATCTAGATGGGATACTTGGGCTTTCAAGCTTCTGTAATGTTTCTGAATTTTTTGGGATAAAACCTTGAGATCTTCATCTGTCTCGTCTATTTTTTCGGAAATGACAGAAGATTCGCCACCGTGCGTTATTTATCGCAAAGGAGGGAAAGGAAACGCTCAGAGAAAACCTAACGAAAAAGGAAAGGAATGGTCATCGCAACCAAGTCCTGGATTCAGGAGTCGGTTACGCAAGGGGAAGGTATTAGCATCCCTCATGTCCGTCGTACTCGACGGGATCCATGCTTAATTGTTTATCTCGAAGGGTTGATTAATCTATCTACCTAAAGGGTTAGGGAAAAAGAAAAGAAAAATGACTCGTCAGAACACAACAGTTCTATGCCTACGTATTCCCGTCTGGAACGAGAAATCAGAGTCAACGTAGTTCGCCAAACTACGGGTGAAAAGGAGGGAAGGTTACTCGCCGAGATACTGCATCTCGTGCCTATGTACTTTCACACGGCATGAAAGATCAGAGCAAACATAGTTCGTGCTAACTAGACCACAGGTTGGTTCAAGTGTTTTAACCCGAGTAGGGTTAACAAACGGTTCTAGCAGTTTGGTGTATGCAGCTCGACCATTGGAGACTTAGCCGTTTACCGTTTGCGGTAGAACCGAGAGTTAACAAAACTCTCCTTAAGAAAATTGTTTCCAAGAATCAAGGTTCCAAGAGGACAAAAATAATTTGAATGTTTGTTTTTGTACCTTTTAAAGAAGAAGTGTTTTGAGTTTTGATTGTAACTCGTGTTGCACTAAAGACTTGGACTTAAGAGTGAATGCGTCGCATGTTACTCAAAGGGTACCACACTAAACATTCAAGCTATGGGAGAGAGACCATCCAACAAATCTTTCTCAAGTGCTTAAGGCTCGTAACGCACAACACGTGTTATCCTTTATTAAGTGTTTTAAGAATGTTTGAAGATGAGAAAAGAAAGGACGTACTAAAGGGGAACTAATCCAATCCTAAAGTTGTCATGAAAAGTTTATCCTATGGTTGTGGTTAGGAGGGAACTACCTAATGTTATCATGCATGGTTAGGACCCTAATGTCTATCACATTCCATCTTGAACAAGAAGGAATGGAAATCCTAAGGGAAGGAAGACAAAAGAAGAAGAAGAAAACAATTATAAGAATTCATACATGAAATGCAAACATGGAAAGCAAAGATGCAATGCAAGTGAGGGAGGAAATATGTGTGGCGCAGGAGCCTCCACAAGTCCATCTCAACCTCAAGCCAAAGTATGAATAAATTCAAAGAGAGGAGGAGAGGAAATGCAACAAAAGCAAATCATAAAAAGCATGCAAAATAAGTCCTCAAGGATTCACCACTTTAGGCATGCCTTAGAGACCTCCAAAGGAGGGACCTAAAACTTCCTTAAATGACATACCAAGGTCATTCGACAGAGAGTGGCATATTCTAATCATACAAACTAAGCCACAAATGAACATTAAAATAATAATGGCAACGAATCAAGAGAAATATGCAAAAGGTGCTAATGTAATGACATTTACAAGGACAAAGTTTAAACATTAGAAGATGAAGGAAAATGAGAATGTTACACACAAGTTAAAGACCTATAAATTGGTACACAAGACCTATAATGAGCCTATAACATGAATCAATCACCATAATGTCCATCATACAAGCATTACAAGGCTTTTGGAGCCAAAATAATACAAGTGTACAAGTGAAGGTGCCAAATTATGAGTCAACTTGAAAAATAAGGAAAACAAAATAGTAAAATGCATCTAAAAATGCCAAATAAATTCTCTAAGGACCTGAAAAGTGTTAGTGATCATAGGTTCAAAGGGGAAGAAAATAATCCAAAGGGAAGTTCCTAAACAGAGAGCAAAAACTCAAGGGTACCCCAAACCTAGGCAATCTAGAGCATGAACAAAATGCTATTCAAAACCTATGCAAATTGTACAATAAAATCCAGAGAAAAATATAAATATATCCTTCAAGATGTATACAACAATTCCACAAAAGATCAAGAGTTTATTTGTTGTTTTGGTACTTCAAAAAATTTCCACAAGAAAGTGTCGCAATTATCACATTTTTAATGGCATTAAAAATAAGAAAAATCCAAATAAAATGAAAATAAACCTAAAATCATTTTTTCAATTTATAAAATTCCTAAACATGTCCAAGAATGTTGTGTAAAAACCTCAAGATTTAATATGCAATATTTCTATTTTTTTATGAATCAAAAGCAAGCAAGTATGAAATAAGAAAATAAGAAAAACCAACTGAAAAATAAATAAGAGAGCGTGGATATTAGAAAAGAGATGCAGTTGTAAATCATTGGGCCAATCACAGGGGGTGGGGATAGCGTTCCAAGCCCAGGTCCACTCAGCCTTGTTAATTTAAACGGTGTGTTTAGGGAGAGTGATGGTATGGTAAGCTAATACACTTGAGATGGAGAGACTGAGTCAATAGTTTCCAACAAGATCCAATGGCTGGCGTGTATCTCCCTCGTTTAAACTGAGAATTGAGAGGGAAAGACCAGAGCCATCGTGGATGGGGGCCGGTGAAATACGCCGGTCATCTTCAACCTCTGACCAAGAACCTAAATCACTCAAAACTCCAACAAATCCAAAGTTTCTTGAACCAAAATCACTCTATTTTTCATGTAGAATACGAATATGGTGATGAATTGAATTAATACCCTCTAGAACTCCAAACCCGTACCCTTCTAAGAAATCTTCAAGAACCCAAAAACTCCATGAAACTTCTCCAAACATTACCAGAAACGTAATTGACTTCCAGGGGATTACAAATATGCAAGAATGGAAGCATAAAGATCCATAATTAATGATATATCTTGAATTTCCATTACCTCTGAAATTGGAGATGGATAGCTTCACACAGACACAAATTCTTCAGGAAATCTATGCAGAATCAATCCAAGATGGTTGATGAAGGTGTTTGAATACTTGAAATGCCTTGAATTGATGAGAAAAGGAAAATTCGAATTTCACTTTAAGCTCACTTTTTCAACTTGCAATAGCTCTGTTCTTCACCCAATTTCATCCAAAAAAATCATGAATTTACTCCACAATACTTATAGAACATGTTTGCAATGAAATGGGGGCCCAATTGTGGCTTAAACATCAAATTGGATTTTTGGATTTTTGAAGTTGGAAGCCCATGAAAATGGAT